GGGGGGGGGGGGTCTCAGCGCTTGGTCACGCAAGGCCCCTCCCTCCCTCAGCCCCCCCCATCTCACCACGGCTGAGTGGTGTTACCTCCTGTGACATGGCCCCCTCTGCCTTGCCCCTGCCCTACGCCAGGCTCTGCTTTCCCCTGTGGCAGTGGTCCGCAACCTTTTGGGGCTGCCGGGGGTGGGTCCACTCATGTGCCGGGCACCCGAGGGTGGGGCTGTGCACGTGCCCGGGGGCGGGACCACCCATACACCGCGTGCCCGGTGCCAACGCCACCTATGTGCTGCACTCCGCTCCTGTGCTGTGCGCCCAGGGGTGGAGCTGCCCATACGCCGCACGCCCGGGGCCAGAACAGCCCATGTGCCGCATGGCCGGGGCTGGGGCCGCCACCGCCCATGCGCTGCGTGCCCAACGCCGCTCCTGTGCCACGTGCCCAGGGATGGGGCCGCCCATACGCCACAGGCTGTACACTGCACACCCGGAGCCGGCACAGCCCTTGCACTGAGCACCCAGGGGCGAGGGCACTGCATTGGGGACCACTGCCCTGTGGCATGGCCCAGCTGACCGGGGACATCCCGGGGGACTTGTCTCTCCCCTCCAGGCTGGCGCCGGATGCCCGGCTGAACCCACATCGCAGCGTGCTGGGCACGGGCAACTACGACGTCAACGTCATCATGGCCGCGCTGCACAGCCTGGACCTGGCGGCCGTCTGGTGGCGAGGGCACTGCATTGGGGACCACTGCCCTGTGGCATGGCCCAGCTGACCGGGGACATCCCGGGGGACTTGTCTCTCCCCTCCAGGCTGGCGCCGGATGCCCGGCTGAACCCACATCGCAGCGTGCTGGGCACGGGCAACTACGACGTCAACGTCATCATGGCCGCGCTGCACAGCCTGGACCTGGCGGCCGTCTGGTGGGACAAGCGCTCTTCCCTGGGAGCCCCTGCACCTCCTGACGCTCCCCCCTGACTCTGCTCCCCCCCACGCTGGCAGGCCCCTGGAGCAGCTGGTGCTGAGCCGGATCCACGGCTTCATTGTGAACGTTCCCTCCAACGTAGCACTGGGCTTCGTGACGCTGCCCGTGCGGCGCAAGCACTGGATTGCCGTGCGCCAGGTGGGGGGCGTCTACTACAACCTGGACTCCAAGCTGAAGGCCCCGGACTGTGTCGGCGGGGAGGGCGAGCTCAGGTGTGTGCGTGCATGTCGGGGGGATCTGGGAGGCTTTGGGTAGGTCATCGGCGGAAGGGATCTAGGGGCAGGCAGGAGGCTCTGGGGTGGGTGATGGGCAGAGGGGGGCCGTGGTGAGTGAGCAGTGCGATGCTACTGCGAAAACAGCGTAAAGCAGGACATGAGAAGTGGTACAGTCTCAGCCGGAGTTCTGTGTCTAGTTCTGGGCACCGCGTGTCAGGAAAGAGGTGCACAAATTGGAGAAAGTTCAGAGGTAGGGATGTAAGCGACTAATTGGCTAGGTGCTGCTCCTTCCCCCCCCCCCCCCCCCCCCAGCGGGGGTGGGGAAGAAGGGGTCACTGGTTAAAAGCCGGTTCCCCCAGCTCCAGCTCTGTTTGAGGTGGAGGGGCACAGCGATGTTCCCCCATTGAAACCTATGAGAGTCCCCGCTGGGGCTCTTGTACATTTCAAAGGCGAAACGCCGCCCGTTGAAACGTAGCGTCTGCCCGGTGGGCTTTTGCTGTGTTTCAGAGCGGAAGAGCCCTTTATCGAATAGTCACTGGTTAAAAGCCGGTTCCCCCAGCTCCAGCTCTGTTTGAGGTGGAGGGGCACAGCGATGTTCCCCCATTGAAACCTATGAGAGTCCCCGCTGGGGCTCTTGTACATTTCAAAGGCGAAACGCCGCCCGTTGAAACGTAGCGTCTGCCCGGTGGGCTTTTGCTGTGTTTCAGAGCGGAAGAGCCCTTTATCGAATAGTCGGCGGAAATTCCATCGACTAGTCCATTAGTTGATTAATCTGCTTTTAACACCCCTATCCAGAGGAGTGCAAGAGGAGATGACGGACGGTCTAGAGAACATGGGCTGGGAGGGAAGAGTGAAAGAATTGGCCTTGTTTAGTTTGCAAAGGAGAAGACCGAGACAGGACATGATGGCAGTTTTCAAGTACCTAAAAGGGTGTCTCGAGGAGGGAGGAAAAATTGTTCCCCTTGGCCTCCGAGGACAGGACAAGAAGCAATGGGCTTCAACTGCAGCAAGGGAGGTTGAGGTTGGACATTCGGAAAAAGTTCCTAACTGTCGGGGTGGTCAAACACTGGAATAAATTGCCCAGGGAGGTTGTGGAATCTCCATCCCTGGAGATATTGACGTGCAGGTTGGACAAACGCCTGTCAGGGATGGGCTAGATCAGGGTTTCCCAACCTATGGGTTGGGACCCAAATATGGGTCGCCATTACATTTCAAAGGGTCACCAAGTGTCTCCCCAGGTGGCTCTATTTCCCCCTCCCCCGTGTTTGAATTGCCTCGGGTCACCAAGTCTTCCTGAATTGTCAGAATGGGTCCCCATCTGGAAACGGTTGGGAATCGCTGTTGCTTGGTCCTGCCGTGAGGGCAGGGGCCCAGCCTAGACCTCTCTCAGCCCCTCCCAGCCCTAGGATTCTGTGTGCAGGCACAGAGGGGGAGCTCGGGTGTGGGGCCTGGGTGCGGTTGCTGGTACACAGAGAGTGCAGGGATGGGGGGAGCCGCATGGGAGGGAGGGGTATGGAAGAAGGGGCCGTGCAGGGCAGGACTGAGCTGAGATGTGGGAGTACAAAGCAGGGGCTGCCCTGGGCTGACCCTCTATCTCCTTTCCCCCCTCCAGGGCTTTCCTGCAGGGTTTCCTGTCCCAGGGCCCCTGCGAAGTGCTGCTGGTCGTGTCCCGCGCTGTGGAGGAGACTGGCGCCTGGTTGAACCCGGAGTGACGCCACGGATACCAAAGACCTGGACTGTTTGGGCCAGCCTTTCCCGGCGGCGGGGCCAGGACCCCTGCCCGGAATCTGCCTTCGTCCCGGACCTGCCTGGCGCTGGCATCAAATACCCCCCAACTCCTGGATAGCGTCCCACCCCGGCTGCTCTGGGCAGCGCCCGGCTTTCGCTTGGGCCCTGGAGCCGGAGGATGCACCTCCGTGACTGGCACTTCCGACATGTATGATAAAGGACCCTGCTAACTCTGCCTTGTGGTGGTTGCCTGTGGCTGGCCCGGGGCCGGGGGTGGGGGAGGGCACTTCCCCCTTGGGCCCTGGAGCCGGAGGATGCACCTCCGTGACTGGCACTTCCGACATGTATGATAAAGGACCCTGCTAACTCTGCCTTGTGGTGGTTGCCTGTGGCTGGCCCGGGGCCGGGGGTGGGGGAG